CATCGGATCGCGTTCAAAATTTTACCAGAGGTACTCAAGAGACCATTGCAGAGCTATTTCTTTGGAATTTTATTTTAGACATTTCTTTACCGAGTTATAGGGTTTCTAAAATTGAAAAACTTGGTTTTTGAGACATTTTTCAGTATTTCTTCTATAACTCGACCAGGGAAGATCTGAAAAAAATTTCCGAAAAATTAGCTCTGCGGAATGACCTTGAGTACCTCTGGTAAAATTTTGAACGCGATCCGATGAAATTTAAGGGGGGTTGTAATGTGGCATAATGAAAAACCGAGTTTTCTGAAAAACTGGTGAACGGTAATACTTGAAAACTTGAAACAAGAACGAAAAAGTGCTGCATTGAGTTTCCGATCAGTTCTGAAAATGCGAAGCCCTAGCGACTTTTAGTTTTTATTTCACAGTATTTCTACGGAAAGCCCAAAAAGAGGGGAGGGGTACCCTTAAAAGAACAAGTAAGATTCATCAAATCCACAATTATGTAAGAAAGCTATTTAAAGTGTAGAAATGATAAGAATGTTTTTGTTAGTATTGGAGAGCATTTTCGTTGCCAACTCATAGCCAGTAGGATTCGGCTCCCTATAGGCGATGATTGCATGGAGTGGAGTAGGAATGGAGAAAAATCTGAATAACAAAACGCTTTTGGGTTAGCTCCCTTAGCTTGCAAGCGTTCTGGCTAATGAATTGAGTTCACTCATATCTTGCCTCGTTCAATATGACTGAAACCAACACTGAATGCCACAAAATCTTTAACTAATGCTGCAGGAACTTGATATACCATGTGTCCAACTGTCCGTTTGTCACGTAATCGAAACATTGTAGTTAAAACTCGATTGGTTAAACCGAGTCTCATTTTACATAAAAACACTACTAACGCAGCAAGTATTGAACGAATAGAAGAAGTTTTCAGAGAGCTGAGTTGTGTAGAGGTCTTTCTGAGTTCCATACATGATCATAAAAATATCGTCCACGTAACGGTAATACAGATCAGGCTTTGTACCACGATATTCAATAATTTTCCCTTCTAAATTACTCATAAACAAATGTGCAAGTATGGGTGCCAAAGGACTACCCATACTTGCACATTTGTTTATGAGTAATTTAGAAGGGAAAATTATTGAATATCGTGGTACAAAGCCTGATCTGTATTACCGTTACGTGGACGATATTTTTATGATCATGTACGGAACTCAGAAAGACCTCTACTCATTTAAAATTCATTTGTTCATCAGGAGCTCTGTTGAAGCAGTAATTAGATTACTATGAGAAAATATTCACAGCTAACGGTTATCCGCTCAACGTGATCAAAAAAACGATTAGACGAGTTAGACTAGGAAAGATTATTACAAAACAACCTATGAAGTCAACAAAGAAAAAAGTTTTCGTATCTATGTCATTTTATGGTCAATGCTCTGTGATCCTAGCCAAAAAGATTAAGAAAATTCTCGAAAATCCAATGAAAGAAATTGTATTTGGATTTGCTGCTGAGACACGTATTTCAACCTTATTCAGTAAGAAATTTCGTGCAGAGAAAGATATGAACAAAGTGGTTTATCGATATGACTGTAAAGACTGTAATGCAGTGTACGTTGGACAAACTTCTCGTGATGTTGAAATTAGAAAAGAAGAACATATGAAGGCATTTCGTGGTCAAGGACACTCAAGAATTGCTGATCACCGCTTGAGTTTGAAACATGAGAATGACTGGCAACATAAGGTTATCGCAATTGAATCGAATGATACTAAACGTACAATCAAAGAAAGTTTACTGATGCAGCTAATAAAGAAAAAGTCAGGAAAGGACGTGTACTCTCAGCAGAGCTTTGAATTGAAACTATTTGGATAATCATTTAGAGACAGACACATTTCTCAGAAGTTTAAAAAATTTTAAGAAGAAATGTAGTACAGTTTATTTCATATATTGTTCCGTCGGTCTTGTTTCGTTTCCTATATATTTAACTGTCCTTTTTTAATTGTAACGTCATTTGACTGATGATGTACTTAGAATAAAGTACGAAACGTCTCAAAATGCTTAAAGTGGTGTCTATTGTTCTCATCTTTATTATAAAGATACTACTATGGCTGATTTTTACGGAGAAAAACACTACTGAGAACACCTTACATCAGTCTTTTTTTCTAAATCGGGAGCGAAAAAATCGGAATTATGCTAGTAGTTGTCTATTTTCTGCAGACATTGGCGAGATCAATGTTTTTTAGGAAATTTTTTATGACACTTTACTAATAAAGTTTGCAAGACGCAGATGTGAAGCTCATTGCCTAATAAAGAACTTTAAGACTTCTTGACGATTTTCTACAACGTTTCTATTTTATTATAGAGAAAAGGTGAAGTTTTAGCTGATTTTATCCAACTGTCGAAACACTTAGTTCTAGTGTTGATCCCGGAAAACAAAGATGTAGTCCCGGTTTCGATCCCGATCCTGGTACAAAAAATTTTCGGCCCGGTTCCCCCCATGTCTTTAAACACTTGTTTTAGAAGACAAGTGAAAAATAATATTTTATATGTTGCGCACAACGAAGCAAATAAAAAGATAAAATAGCCTTTTTCTTTTTCTACTTTACGCTCACTGCATGATGCGCTATCGAAAAACGTTGGGGTTAAGGGTCTTTTGGGACTAAACAGTGAGTGTTCCTAATGTAGACGGAAAAAACGCATTATGTAGTTTATTCTTTATTTTGTGGCGATTGAGTGAGAGTTTAATAGACTTTTTCATACTTTTGAGTAGAGCAAAGTCTCCTGAATTGAATGGTAAAAGAATTCTTAAAAACGAACTTAAATTGAGCGAGTTTGGGTGAGTTAAAAATACTTCATATACACCTACCCGATATCACACGAAAATCAAGCCTGAAATCTTCTAAAAGTCTTCCATTCTTCATTCTAAGCTTCTCAAATTCCAAAAGTAAAAAATTCCGAAACTCGACTTCAAAATTTTAAATTTTAAAATTCTGCGATTATGAGAATATGAAATTTAAAGTTCTGCGACTTCGAAACCCTCAAACTTTACAATCCAAAACCCGTGAACTTACGAAATCTGAGATCTGCTATTCAGGAATACTAAAATTCTAAAAACTGTGAAATTCCAAAATTCCACGATTATCAAATTCTGGGATTCTCAAGATGGAGATTCTTAAATTCTCAACTACTGAAATTCTGTAAGTTGAAAGATTTCATGCTTTTGCTGATAAGGCAATATTTTACTGTATAAGGATAATTTGACAACCCTCTTAATAATCAGTTAATTATGTTGGACAGTTCTCTTAGAACATTTGATTCGGCTAATAACGGACAACCGATAGTTCTTAAGAAGACGAAAGCGAAAGAAAAGTATAGAAATTTTATGAGTTTTCGTTAATTACGCGTTTTAAGTGTCATTTTTCGGCTTGCTACGTTAGTGAAAATGAGTATCTTTCATTCTTGTGCCACTTTTGAGAAAAAATCGGTACCGCTGGTGATAAAATAAAAACTCTACTTATGTTAAGCTGAAGAGAATATAGATGATAGATTTTCAAGAGTTTTGATTTTTTCGAGAATACCAGCGTGGTTGATAGTCGGCATTCGAACTGTAAGTTACAGAGAGACTAGAGTTACAGACTGTAACTGTCGTCGATGAAAGCAGCTGGAGAGTTCTCCTTTTAAGGTGGTCCATCCCTCAAAATGTGCCTTTAAACTATGTCAGTTTGAAGAGGACACCTGATTACATATATCCTTCAGTTTTTTCGATGAACTGATAACTATTTACAGAGTTATTAATTAATTAAGTTTAAATTTTAATTAGAACTTCGATTTCGATGGTGTTGTAAAATAATTCATTATATTTTGCTGAAATGTTCGATCAACGTCGCGTTAGAGTTATTTTGTAGACTATCTTTGGTTGTATATAATATGCTTTAAAAAGTTTCAAAAGTTTTCCTACGGCATAGGTTTTTTAAGTCAAATATTGTAAAAAGAGTGGTTTTTCTAGTTTTAAGCATAAAAAGTAATTTTTGAAAACCTTGCCAACGATTGCACGATAACAAAGAAATTTCGAGAAAAATTTTCGCTAGCGAAGTTGTAGCTGATGCCATTCTGCATGTAGCTGGCGGAAATGAAAAGTGTACTTATATTACCGAAACTGTTGGATTTGATATTGGAATAGACTATGAAGATAAATCAGTAAAACAGTTAACAAATGAAATATAAGGTGTTATAAGTAAGTACCTGTATGAGTTATGTGTGGTATTATAAGTACTTTTGATCAATTAGAAAGTATTGACAATAGATCACGTTGGATGCGTATATAATTAATTAAAAGAACTCTTATGCAAGGTTTTCTTGTAACAGATTATGAACATCGACGAAATGAGTTTTTCAATGAAATGAAAGCATGGTTAAAAAATGGTCAACTAAAATATCTGAAAGATATTGCTGAAGGTGAAAATCAAGCAACTCCACAAGCATTTATCGATATGTTACAAAGTAAAAATCATAGAAAACAACTCGTACGTATTGCAGAACAAACCCAGGTCGCAGGAAATGAGACATAAATGAGACATGTATGGCTCATTTATGATATGAAGTGAAAATGATCATATTATAATCCTAAAATGATTTAAATATGAGCTTAAAATGATATTATATTTGAGTCATTTTAAGACCATTTCATAAAATGAGATAAAA